CACCTACACACCGCTCCATCTACACCTCTGCTACACCTTCATCCTGACCTGCAGCCTCACACTGCTGGGTAAGACTAAGAAACACACACGAGCAGAAACACACACCTGAGCAGAGACACACACCTGAGCAGAAACACACACCTGAGCAGAAACACCTGAGCAGAAACACACACACACACCTGAGCAGAAACACCTGAGCAGAAACACACACCTGAGCAGAAACACACACCTGAGCAGAAACACACCTGAGCAGAAAAACACACCTGAGCAGAAACACACACGAGCAGAAAAACACACCTGAGCAGAAACACACACGAGCAGAAACACACACGAGCAGAAACACACACGAGCAGAAACACACACGAGCAGAAACACACACGAGCAGAAACACACACGAGCAGAAACACAAACCTGAGCAGAAACACAAACCTGAGCAGAAACACACCTGTGTGTGTGTGTGTGTGTTGCAGCAGTGATGCTGTGGAGGCTGGTGAGCAGAAGGAAAGCTCCTCATCTGGAGGCTGAGCGCAGCGTCAGGGAGAACACAGTCCAGTATGATGATGAGGGTGGGGGTGAACAGGACACAGAAGCGTTTGATATGGCGGCTCTGCAGAATCTCACGGTCAAACAGAGCTCAGAGCTTCAGGAGGAAACAGCGCCGGTGTGTCCCGCTTCAGCCCTCACGACCCTTCCGGACTCAGTCTTCCAGCAGTGTTTGCGCAGCCGGCTGGCGGTGGTGGACTCGGACTCCTCTGCGCCGCCGTGGGACTCTCTGCAGTCGTATGTGTTTGAGGGCTGCGGGTCGCTGGCGGAGTCTCTGAGCTCGCTGGACTCGACCCGCTCAGACTCACAGCAGAGTTCAGGAGATCTGCAGCGCTTCAGCACACTGGCAGAGCTGTACAGAGACCCGGAGCACAGCGGCGGATCCTCAGAGCTGTAAACACTCGACAGCACAGCGGAGCGTCTCTGTGTGATTTCTTGATGCATTCAACCAGTGCGGCAAACTTAGTCTGAAGTGTTGGAGTAAGAGAACTGAGGAAAATTAAAAATAATTATGAACAAAAGGAAAGGTCCATCTGGACAGTGTGTAGAGGAGTTTATCGTGTGCAGTGAGCCTCTATTCAGTGTCAGGAGCACATGCTCAGTGTGGTGTTCTGTGGGTCGTGCTATTATCTTATATGATGCAGAAATGCACCCGTGTGTATGATTCATATTCATGGAGAAATTAATTAACATGTTGATTTTCAGTAGGAGTGTGTGCATTTACAGATATTAAAGATGTCATGAAGTTACCCTGTAACCTATAGTGAAGTTAAAGTCTAAGTGTAATTATAAGAGGACTGAACACAGTAAATGAAGAGCCGACACAGAATCACTGTACAACTGTAAAACTGATGTCCGTCTAACTCGACAGGTTTTCCTGTTCTGTAAACAATAAAGAGTAAACCTGACTCCATATTCAACATCCACAACTCATTAATCAATGCAAATGAGTCTTGGGTCATGCACTGACACTCATTCATTTAACTTTGGTTTAGTCACGAATTCATCAGGAGTCACCACAGCAGAATGAACCACCAAGTAGTGTTTTGTAGCGCCACACACACGCACACACGCGCACACACACACACACACACACACACACACACACACACACACACACACACACATACAAACAACAAATTAGGTCTAAATACATTTATAATTTGAGGAAGATGAGGGATGGAGAGGTTGATTCTGTGCATCGCTGCAACTGAGAAACTCTCAACATCTTCAGTGGAAATCTCAGCCAGAGAATCCTATTTGCAGAATAACAACAGTTAATTGTACTGAAATTCCCATGTCTGTACATGCTCACAACATCTACAACACCAGAAACTTTGTTCCTTAATTGCTGGTTGTGCTTCAAGGTTTCAGATCTTTGGGGAGATTCAATTTTCTGAATGATCGATCGCCAAAAGAGACGAGTTAATAATGCGGAGACCAGCGGAGCCGAGGGACAGAGAGAGAGACGACAGGGGACTCTGCAGATGAACAAACACTGACACGCCAGTCAACCTGTGTGTGTGTGTGTGTGTGTGTGTGTGTGTGTGTGTGTGTATAATCAGTATTGAGACACATGAAGTAACAATTTGCACTCACTTTTATTAGGGTAGATTCTATCACAGATATTTGGGTAAATAGTATTTAAATTGAACAGGTATAACATAAAATAAGTTAGGAAAGATCTAATAATTTAATCTCTTTCGGATGAGACGTTAAACCGAGGTCGTGACTCTCTGTGGTCGTTAAAAATCCCAGGATGTCCTTCGAAAAGAGTAGGGGTTTAACCCCGGCATCCTGGCCAAATCTGCCCACTGGCCTCTGTCCATCATGGCCTCCTAACCATCTCCATATTCCATTTGGCTTCATCACTGTCTCCTCTCCACCAATCAGCTGGTGTGTGGTGTGCGGTCTGGCGCAAAATGGCTGCCGTCGCGTCATCCAGGTGGATGCTGCACACTGGTGGTGGATGACGAGATCCCCCCATTGTGTGTAAAGCGCTTTGAGTGCCCAGAAAAGCGCTATATAAATGTAAGGAATTATCATTATTATTATTATAATTCTCATTAGTAATTACTTACAAAATTGAGTGACATTTATTCTGCTTTTAGCAGGAAGCAGTTCTTCTACTGCATTAATATTAATAAAAAAAACATTTTGTTCACTCATCTGCTGGATCCTCCTCAACTGTGAGACTGTGAAGCGCCGACACCTCATGACTTCATCTGTGTGGACTTCAGGTCGGTCCTGTTGAAAATAAAACAGCATTTTTAATGGTACTTCAAGCAGATCAGCGTAATGCTTGAGCTGTTTTTAACTGAATTGAGCGTTTGCTTTTGTTCACATGTAAACCTTCATCAGCACATATAAGTTTCATTCTCGTCTCGTGTTTTAAACTAAAAAAGGTTTCTTTGAGCCAGTGTGTTTGAGCTTCTCTTTGTTCATCTGAGAATAGAAATCTACATGAAATGTGACGATGTCGTCATCTCCTCTCTTTAGTAGGCTTGGCTTAGATCACTTGATTCGTGTGCATTACTGTACATGTTGTGAAGCATCAGCAGGTTTGCATGAACAGATTTTCAGTGGACGGATGGAGAGATCTTACAATAAAACAAATACACCACTCAAACACCACTGACTCTTTAGCCAATATAAGGCATTGTGTTTGTTGCTTGGCTTCACCATGGTGATCAATAAGGGAAATGAAACAGTGTGTAAATGTGAAATCAATGTTCACACAGAACTGATCAACACACCCGACAGTCCCGCAGCTCTTCTTGATCTTTTCCAAAGTAGATGTGCAAAGACGTGACAATCCAGAGACTCTGTGAGCTGTGCGCTGGAACTGAAGACAAATACAAGCAAATGAATAAACTTCATTATTCTGTGAATAATTACAATAATTAAAACAGGTTATAAATAGATCCCTTCTAACAAAAAAGCTCAGCAGATCAATGCACTAAATACATGAAGACAATTAAGAGTTACCATCAGACCGAGTGCTGTCCCTCTGTTAAATGTATTCTTTGTAATGGGAAGTTGATTACTGTTAACCGCTTCCCTCAGACGGTTCAATTCACTGAACCATTTCAATGGACTTCCTGCACTCATTAGGCATATTCCAGCTTCACTTGTTATTAAATAAACTGGTTTAGCCCTAATCATGTCCTCAGTTCATCTGCACTGAAGAAAATGATGTCTGCAGAACTGTTGATGTGTTGAATTTAAAAAAACAAATAGAATTTAATAAAGTTCAACATAATTCGTTTGTTTAAATTTAGCCAATAAATAGTTTACAGCCACTTAATGCAAACAAATGTAGTAAATCAAAGGAATCGTCTCTGAATAACTTTTTCCAGTGTGTGTTGCAGTCAAGGATCGCCGTCTATCAGCTTCAGACGCATCTGACAGAGACTCAGTTCAGAGCTGATGATCAGAGAACTGTTGCAGCCGGTTTATGATTTTGAGAATGGTGTCAGCTCTGCATTGGCATCTGCTTCAGATCATGTCAGACCCGTAATAAACACAAGCAACTTTAATAACCTGTGGTGACTTGCTCACTAAAATGATTCAAATGAACAACAATCGTGTGCTGCAGATTCACTCATTTCAACCATGAACAAAAAATATCTGAAGCTAACAACAACATATTTTAATAATCATAGACAGAGATGCTTACCGGAACTTACTCTCAATTGCAGGTGAAGGTTTTATCTGGCGTTCCTGACAGCCGTATGTTAGCAGCCTATAGAGTCAACAAGCGAGACAGGGAAGCACATCAATGACTAATATATTTCAACAAAACAAGCTCACATTTGTGTCATGATTATATCGTAAAATATCCACACAAGCTTACCCTTAACTCCACAAACAGCGATGCCGCCTCCTCGCTGCCGCCATGACACAGGAAATGATGAGTTCCACACTTACCGCCTGGATGTTGAAGCATGCGCACCTCCCAGAGCTAATACTTGTGGGTAAGTTTTACTCTCTTCTAAATGTTTCTGTTCTTATGAAGACAGATGAGGTAGATAGAGTGCACCCATTATTATGCATTTAAGTCTTATAATTATAATTCAAATCTGCTTTTAATGGGTAGCGTTTAACATCCCCGGAGTCATTTCTAATTTAGTTTAGTGTTCTGTTTTGATTTCATTCCAACATACCCTAACCCTGACAAGAGCAGCGTTTGTTTGATTATCCTGAATGTGTGTTACTTTAGAAATCAACAACAACTACATTCCATATTGAACATCAAATAATGAAGGAATATAAACCACAAGATTGACAAAACGAAGACAGAAATATGTGTACAACAAAGCTGCACGCACACACGTACGCACGCATGTGTTTATTTCTGACCAGCAGAGGCTGACTGTGGTCATATGCACTGAGCGCGCACACACACACACACACACACACACACACACACACACACACACACACACACACACAAACACACGCACAAACACACGCACACGCACACACACACACGCACGCACACACGCACGCACACACGCACACTGTCAGCATTACCAGAGAGAGCATCAGAGCAGATCTGTCAGGTGTTCTGTGTGTCATGTACATGTTTATGAAAATAAATAAATTATTGAAGTAAACACAGCAGCTCAGCCACGACTAATGATGACAAACCCTGAACAAACTCTGAATTACACACACCAGCACTCAACCTTCACACACACACACACACACACACACACACACGAGGTTCCATTTGTGCCGAAATTGCCATGCCTGCTTTCTGCTTTGTACATCCCATTTGTCTTCGTCTACTGTCATTGCACGCATGTATAGGGAAATCAGCATTGTTGACGTACATGTTGTCTGTTGATGTCGTCTTAATCTGACATCCTGTCCGTTTTTCTGTTTTGTACTGTCAAATTCTATTGGCTATTCTGTCATCTGATCTGTTGTTCTTAATGTTTTCTAGTTATCTTCCCTGGTGAAAAAAAAGTATACTAAATTGTATTGCATATATATTTTTTATTCCAATAGTACATTGAAAGTATACTAACTAAAAAGTATACTTAATTTAAATATATTAAAAATGTATTATTACCATACTTTTATATATAACTTTTAACACAATTAAAAATAATTGTAATTTAGTATATTTTATAAAAATACATTTTAGAAAAATGCACTTTAATTACATGCTTAGTTTATTTTTTACAAATATATTTATTTAGCATTTGATGGTAATATATTTTAGTATTATTTTAACTGTTCTTTGAAAATTAACTTG